TAAGTTTCTTGAAAATGGAAAGACTCCTTCATCGTGAGAATTGTGTCTCTTTTCCGAGTGTTGCCCATTCGTAAGAGTGAACGACGCTCGAAACGTTAGCTTTGAAACTCTTTACCGTGGCAAATTTACGTTATCCACTCAGTTGATAATACTGAATTCCCCACTCTAAGGCACGGCGTTCAATTTTCTTGGTTTGTGCGCCATCTTTATTTTGTTTCTTCTCGTTGTTGTTTGTGCTCTAGCCTTTTTTCCAAGAATGCTCCCTTCTTTATGGGAAACTTGGTCTGCCAAAAAACCAACTGCCACTGAACTGTCGTGGCTGAACTCAGTGAGGCAAAACTCACATAGGGTAATGAACAACATGCTGCATAAATCAGGGCTATATATGCTTTAAGTGCCACAGGGAATGAAGAGCATATTGCGATTGAGGAGAAGAATCAAAACCACATCAAACTGTTCCACAAATTTCATATAGGAATAACGGAGTCATTTATTGACTTATTTTCTTATCAATGTGAAGTCTATTTTTTTTTTTCTGTCTCTCATTTTAGAATGTCAATTAACGACCTTCTCCAAAGAATGATCTTTTAAGAGCGGAGGAGGGGGTTGGGGCAAGGGGAGGCGTTGCGTGACATCCCTTTAAAGTGGCTGTGTGGAAAACTAAGAGTTCAACGTATTCTAAGGTTGCAGTTCTGATGTTTATAATGACTATAGTGATCATTTTCAACAGTCAATCATCCATCGAATGCGGCGATTAGCCTTTATTTACTCTAAATGCAAGATTGCTCTGGTCGTTAGTTGTGTCCCATTCAGTCCGGGGGCGTAAGCAGCTGAAGTCTTAGCATGGACTTTCTGTTTGCAAAATTATTGTCTCACAGCTGCAGTTCAAAGCAGTGGTATTGCAGATCTGTAAGAGTCTTGTAGGGGTGAGAGAAAACTGCCACCAGTTTGAAGCCATATTTCCTGTAAAGTCGAATGGCCGGTGTCTGTGCGTTAGTTGTGGTGAGTACAAGTCTTTCTAGCCGTTGATCCTTGGCGTAATTCAGGAGCTCGTCGAGAAGTTTCCCGGCGACTCCCATTCTTCTACAGGCTGGTGATACAGACATCCTCTGAAGTTCAGCCATTCCAGGTTTTTGGTTCTCATTATGAACGAGTCCAACCATTCCTACAACTTTACCATTCCACTCAGCCACCCACATGTGACATCCATTGTTGGTCATGTAAACCTTTTCAATGTCCTTCAAGTCTGTTGCCAAACATGAGTTGATGAACTTCCAACACTCTATGTACACATGGATGTACAACATTGAAAGTGTAATTGCACAGATAAGGATGTAGAGCAGAAAGACTGCGCTCCTCCACTGGAATAACACGACAAGAACAAGAACGAAGAAGCTTGATGCAGAGGTAAGCCATATGTATCTCGGAAACACAACACGTAATACCAAACTGATCAACTGCACCATACCTTGAGTAAAAATTTCTTGGCACTTATGAAGATCTTCAGTTCTGAACGCTCTTACTTGGACATTATTGCTGTTTAGTAACTGATAGCATTGTCGTGCACTCGATTCCTCTCGAGTGCGTGAGGAGGTGATCTATCAGAAAACAGAGACTCAGCTTTACTTTGTTAAAAAATCCAATGGGTCCATCACAGCAGGTATTTGGAAAGATTACGCGATGGAAAAAAATGTTGCTTTAACACAGAAACCAACAGAATAGGAAATATCAAATAGAAGCTCTACATTATTTTGGGATCAAATACTCGAAGCTACAGTACGGAAAAGAGAACTGAATCCCATGTACCCATGCTGAATAATAATTGAGTGCGTGCACGTCGCTCTACCAAAAAGGACAAAACAGGGAATATCAGGGTATAGGAACAGGGAATATCATGGTATGGGATTTAGTTTGATAAATGAAGGTTTAAAAAATGTGCAGTTAGCGAGAAGTAAGACAAACCAAGCAAAAGGAAGAGAATGCGAAACAAAGAAAACGCATCTGTTCTTCTCTTTAGAAATTATAGGGACTCCCATGTCTCTCCTTGCATTACCTTCATCTTCATCGTGTGAGTTTCCCTTCGCAAAGTCTGTCTGATCAAAACTGTTGATGTTTACTTCACCCTCCAATCGGGCAACTTATCAAGTGCTCACGTTGACCTCCTCTGCCCAGTTGTGTTTGTCTTACTCACAAGTGGAGAAATCTGTGAGATCAGGAGTAAATTTGTGGTAAGTGCTAAGAGAAACAATCATGTCAAGACTTAAAGCAAGTAATGGAACAGAGCACAACAACTAATTTAAACCAAAGCGTTCGATACAATTTAACCAAAAATAACTTACGATTGAATGTCAAAACCTTCGAATCTCGTCAATACTTTAAATGGGGACAAATCCCATGAAAAAAACTGAAAAACCGGCTCACTTTGCATAAGGAAACCGAATAACCGAAACGTTGTCGAAGGAATGTTGCACTACAGAACCTTGAAGCAGCACATTTAGCCGCTTGAAGCAATCAATCATAATTACCTGAGCATCCAACGTTGCTGCTACAAAATTTTCCACTTAGCAGTAGCACTTTTTACCCACTTTGAAGATTTTGTTATCAGTATCAAAAACGTGAGCCGAGGTCAAAGTCTGATGGTGTGGGCGACGGGTTCCAAAGATCAGTCGATCTAATATTGACCAATAGAATGTAAATATTTGTAAAGAGTACATGGTGCTCCACGTGCCGTAGTTGTTTATCTCGGTGCTAACCATAAAGCATAACTAAACGGTTCTATTCACCCGTCTGTAAGTGGATCTGAAGTAACGCCATATCAAAGTGGTTCTCTTCAGCCGTTTTGACGGAGGACTTCAATCATCTTAAGTAAGGTATAAAATATCACACCGTAAAGAAAAACGATATGTTTTCAAGTCTCAGAGAGTGATGGCAAAAAATGTAGTGTCCTGTTCCTAAATAACATGAAAAACAAACGTTTTTGGTATAATTTGGTCAATCAGTTATAACTCAAGGTAATCAGATGCTATTATAAACCTTTACAAATGACCCATTATATTCTGGCAACCGCCTTTTTTTTTCATTTTGTTTTAGTTTTTGTGTTTTTTTTTTCTTGTCCGCGGTACTTATCGTGGGCATGTGTCCTCTTTACCTGATCTGTCTAATTCATCTACAAAGACATTTATGGTAAAAGAACAGCATTAAGTCGACACACTCATATGTGTACGACAGGACAAATATCAAATTAAACAAAAGGTACGCATCAGAGAGAAAGAAAGTAATGTATAATTACGTTTGTAATTTCGGTAATCCAATAGATTAAACAAAAAGACAGAGCAAAATAAAAAAAGATGAAATAATTAGGCTTGTGCGAAGAAGATATAGTAATAAGTAAAGGATTACAGCGAAATTGTCAAACAAAATAGAAAACATGAGCACTGTTATCAACACGAACTGCATTTCGTGATTAAGAAATAAAGCTATTCATCGATACTTTCTACGATGGACATTCCGGAACGTGATTTTTCGTAATTGGTCTGAGAGATTTAAGGAACAATTGTAAACATTGTCAGCTCTTCTCTCTACTCAAAGTGGAAAAATCGAGTTTGTAATAACCATCCCTGGGGTTGAGGGAGAGGATAGAGGGAAGGGGGAGGTGACGGGGAGGTGAAAACTAATTCAGGTCAAATGGCAAGCACTGCAATGCCTGTTGTTGCAGGCAGTCAGTCATTAGACGCACAAAGCACTCTCTCTTTGTTGAATTGATGTACAGAAGCTTACTCTACCTAACTTTCTGACACATTCCTAGACATCTGATTAGTGTTTACAGTAGTGCAGTAGCGTGATTCTTAAGTTCAAGTGTCTGAATGAATAGAGTCATCTCTATTTCTGGTTAAAACACAAAATCGATCGAGTCAGAGGATAAAGTGTATATACCACCAGTGCACAAATCGCATCTCTCTGATGTATGAGGTAATTTAAGTCTACCAGCACTCAGGGTGGAATACATTGTTAATAGTATGGTAACAGACACATCAAGGCGTAAGCTTCAACCGATTATTATCCACGAATAAGTCACAGTTGGCGTTTCCCAAAGTTCTCGATGGGCACTTTTAAAATATAGCATTTCCCAGTATTGATTATAAGCTTTCCTTTTTCTTCCGCAGTCTAATATCAGCTACATATCGGAGGTTACATGGGATCGATATCTTTCATGATGATGACTGAATCGGAGCTCGAAGAACTTGATTCATACACCGATGTTTCTTCCATCAAGAAATACGGCCATCTTTCGTACCACCTCTAAGCACAATATGACCCCAGCAAAGCAACCAAGCACAATAATGAACAGGCTGTATTCTAGTAGCACTTCTTGAGCTGTGATCAGTCTTTGTACTCTGGATTCATTAGCCACAAAGGTATGGTGAAGGCGTGGCGTGGGTTGGTTCATGCTTACCCTTGCCATTGCTCATAGAGTATTTTTACATTGGCTTATCGCATTAACTTGGCCGAAGAAAAGATCAGACTCCCATGAAAAGAATGTGAAAATCCCGTGACGCAGTAAAGGTTAAGTGGTCTTTACGTCCTGATACTTGCTACAATGACAAGAAAAGTACTCGGGTATCCAGGCATCAACAAACGCAGCATGAGGCTAAGTGTAATTTTAGCCCTCCGGCAAGTTTGTCATCGGGTTTTTTTTCGGTCGGGTTTATCTCATTGAACTGTATCACGGGAAAATACCGGAAATACTCTGGAAATAAAGGCTTTTGATTTCATTTCTCGGTATGGCTTATTACTATTTTTGATATTAACTGGATAACTTATTCTTCAGTCGAAAACGGTGCTTTTCGTTGACTCACACGCCAAAATTCTATGCTCCGGCCCGAGCTCTAGAACACCGTCTAGACTGTCGCCGGTGATCATGTAGTCACGAAAAACAAATCAGCCTATTTTCACTGGGATTGGAACCCCATTAACGACTATTCACGTAAATAGCGATGTTCTTGTATCGCCTAAGAGCTCTCGAAAACCTTAAGTCACGGTAAGAGATTCCGTCGAAACGTGCAGGAGGTCTGGTAACAACAGCCGTAATATTCGCGATCCAAGCTGTAACACTGTTGCGTGAGTGGCTATTAGTTTTTACTATACTGTCATGGCGGTGTTGTCTCCCAATCTCATACGCGGTTTGGTTTCCACCCTGCAAGCACTTTTGGCGTTGGCAATGATAACAGCAGGAGTCTTTGATCGAGTAAAAATGGACTCTAATGTCAGCCGTATTGTTATGCCAATTTGGACGGGATTTTTGGTAAGTATACAAACTGCCGTAAAGAAAACGCTGAATGACTTAAGACACGCATTCGTTTCAAGAAACATGCTATTAATCGTAAATTACGTAAAATAAAATAATTCACGTCAAAACATCCTCACTATCCTACCAAATCGGATGGCTACTATTTTGAAGAATTCAATCGAAGCAAAAAGTCACATAGTACTGATATTACATACTATTTCCGGGCCAAAACAGACATTCGATTATTTTCCACCATCGTTTGTTGCAAGCTCTGCTCCTCTTTTAATCATAATTTTGCCCATTTTTTCGCCTTACAAAGCTAACATCAAATTAGAAAAATGATATTAGTGTACGCTAAAGTGTGAAGATGGAAAGGGACTGAAGAGATAATGTGCGCATAAAGATGTTATCGTCCAAGCTCTATAAAGCGATTACCCTGTAATAAGCAGTCAGTTTGAAAGTTCTGAAATCATTACCCCGTAATTATTGTAACCTTCACTTCTATCAAGCGGTCACCTTTATTTAGGGTCAGAGTCACCCATTACTGAATCCTGACGGCCCTTTTGTGTTATCATCTTCCTATATTGAACGGTCACCTACAGTGAAACTACTGAAATAATTATAACTAAGAATTATCTTTCAATTAAAATTTGATCCATGTTTATCTCCCGAAATCAATGTTAGTGGTATTTTTGACCGACTTTTTTTGCACATTAAGAGGTACATTATGGCATAAAATGGCGATTTTTATCGTATTTCTTAAATAATCCTACTCTGTGGAACGTATACTCAGTGGCCAACCTGCATTAAGCGGTCACCCATGGGTGATCGCTTATACATGTTCAACTGTATATGGATCACAGTGAAGATCAAAACGACCTTGGCGAATTGTTAATGACAAACTTTAAAATCATAATTATTGAAGCATTATGAAAAAAGAATGGCTTGAGTTTTTAATTGAAATGCACACACCATCATGCAGCTCAAGGTTGTACAATAATTACATGTGCAAATTTAATTCAAGTTGCTTATTTTTCTCCACAAATTTTCAGTTGCTGGTTTCTGCAGCAGTTGGCGTTGTGATGGTGAATAAAACAGACAGCCCATATTTTTTTAGCATGGTGAGAAACAAGATTTTCTTGTCTCATTAAGAAATTCACTACAAAGATCTTATTGAATGAGAACAATTGAAGAAAAAGAAAGACAAGAAGAAGGAAAAAGAATCCAGGTCACATAGTCAATTTTAAATTTTTAGGAAGTTTGTAACTATGCAATCATGCATGATCCATTATCTATTATTTTCTCATATCTTCTTAAAATTCCATAATGTAAGAAAGTCAAAATCATTTCATTTGAAAAACAACGAAGATAAGTGAAAGAAGGAAAGGGTTTTATCAGATGCATGGTGCATAACAAACTGTAGGCTGAGGTTTCATGCAGAGCACACATAAGACAGCCCTTCATAGGTGTTGAGTGAATAAGCTGTCACAGATGAATAAATTTGTCAATACATGTGTTCAATGTTATATTTGTTTTGACTGAGAATTCAAAAATTAATTCAGACATCACCTTATCAGTACTATATCACTGAAGAACCACTTTATTTGTCTTCATATCTATTATCTTAAGATTTAAAGGGTACTTAATTGATTTTTATTGATCAAATTTTAAATACATTGCAAACAAAAGTTAATGCTGCATGTACTACTTCACTTTCCACAGGTTGCTACATACAGAGCAATGAATATATTCTGTTCCATCTTATGTAGCCTCATAGCCTACTGGTATGGATGGTTATTCATCAATGTCCTTTCTTATGAGACTGATGAGACTGCAATTGTAGGCACTATTTTTGTGTTGGCAATGACTGAAATTTTCCTCTCTATTTTTGGAACAATGGCCTCAATGGAAAGAAACCCTTATTCACAGGTAACCTATTAGAGAAAGATATTTTTTGTCTTTTCACAAGTGTGGGACAAAGAAAAAATTCTGAGTCCCTGTGAGGTATCAAACCTCAGACCTCCGATGCTCTACTGCCAAGCCACAGAGACTCTACGGTGAGCGAGGTCTAATATTGCAAAGTTCATATGACACACGTCCTGCATACTGCTAGGATCAGTGATGTCGATAGCAGCATGTTTGTAAATAGAATAAGGGAAATGGTAAGTTCTGAGCTTAGTAAAGAAATAGAGAAAGATGTTTAACCACATAGGTTAACGACATAATTTTTCAGCTTACATGTTTGAGACTTCGTTGAGGTCTTTGTATGAAAATGACCATACACTGCTTTACCATTGAGCTTATATCATAGGTTTCCTTAAATTATAGTGAGATAAACTTAATGTGGAAGATATTTTTATGATTCTTAAATACTTAGATACCTTATTGCTGAATATCAATGTATCCACTGCTTTTCACTGGATTGTTGTGTTAATAATCATATTAATTTATACACTTAATAAATGATTCATTCATTTATCTGTAATTACCTTTGTAATATATATTGTCATTTTACATATTGCACATTCATTTATTTATTCACTCATTTATTGATCTGTTTGTCTCAATTTGTTTTCTGAAAGCTTGTCAATGCCCCAGTAGAGGAATCAACTGACAGAGAGATGACAATCCCTTTGCCTTTAGTGCAAGTTCAAGGAAGTAATTTTGTGACAAGTGGTCCTGTTCAGGTAGTGAAGTACTCATTATGCAATATGATACCTTTTCAAAATGTGATCATGTATTGATATTGTGGAATAATTCCCAAGGAAAAAATTATTTAACATAATAATCCATCAAATGTCTTTGCTCTCGCAAAATCTAAAGGTCTAAACGCATTGTGTGATAGAATAAATGCCCCTACTTTATTCTTTACTCCCATAAGTGACCAAGATAGAATTTCTCCTTACAATATCAACCAGACTAGTGATGATAATAGAGGAATTATTTAGTTGATCGAATATTTTAATATTCTTAAAAGTTGAAATAAACAACTTAAATAAATATACACAAAAATAACTTTAAAGTTCTCTGAGCTAACACTATAAGAACAAGGCGTGAAATTGCGCCTGATACAGGCGCCAATGAACTAAATTTTTCACTTTGGCGATCGAATCCTGAAAATTAGTCCCCAAATTGGCGACTAGAATGCTTCGTCATAACCATACCTAGAGATTTAGAGAATATGAAAGATTTTCAATGAGATATCCGCGGCAACTTCCTCGTTAAGTTTGTTTAATTTCCAAAACGCAGCACATGTATCTCGATCGATAATTAGACGCCATCTTTGGCGTGAGCTTGAACGTTGTATAACACCCATCCTAGTGTCCACTTTGTAGAACTTTGTAGAACATAATTTTGGAGGGTCTATCTAGATCGCTGACACCACTTTGGGTCGAGGTTTCGTATACACCCTTTGACCATCGAGTATCTTTGTCACCTGAACAGTTATTGTTTATGCAGTTGAATGATGAATAATATCACTGGAGTAGTCCATTTTACAGTTGAGTGGTTGGTTGCCAAGCCTTTGAACAGGAGTGATGCTAAGGTTGACCTTGTTATCATACAAACCTTGCTGCTTTTCAAATGCAACGTACTGTGTTATCATGCTTACTAGATACTGGTCTCTATCACAACACGGTCACTTTCAGCCTCACTCCAAATCAAACGCTTGGCCACTAAGTGTACAACAAAAAAATATTCAATTGTTGAAAATGTGTTTCTATGTCACTGAGTGGTATAGTTGATGCCACGTTCTATGCAAACTTGCACATGTCATTCTAACAAGCTACAAACTAACTGGGAATGTATGAGTCAGGAGAATTTCAAATTGAAGTGATATTAATGCATTTTGTGTCATTTATGCCTTGTTTTTTTTATTCTCAAGGGAGGTATTCAGGCCCCAACTGGCGCACCAACCTACCAAGCTGCACCACGAGATGACTCGCCTGTGATGGTGCCCCAAGGGTACATGGGCCATTTAGTGATGGTACCCGCCGAAAACATGCAGAAAATGTCCCACACATCGGGAACAGCCCAAATGTATGTTCCAGTTCCCTCTCAAATGCCCTATCAAACCACCCCTTCGAGTTCTCCCCTTCTCATTGGAGATCTATAGGTATTCATCAGTTCAGTCTGATTTGTTGTCATCATACTTTCATGAAACCCCTAGCTGGCGACTTCTTAGATGTTAGTGGTAAATTTTATGGCAATTTTTGCTTTCATTTCTCCTTCCTTGATCAGTTTGAGAGAGAGATAAAGAGAGAAAGAGGTAATTCTGTAATTCACGGGGGTGCAGTTAAACTGAGGGTCAAGAATATCACACCTAGGGTACTTGCCCAACTTTTTATGTCGACATTTAGGCTGTGTTTCACTCAGTGACATTTTTCCGAATGAGCTCTGAGTGATGCTCAGTAACTAGGTAATGTCGGGTAGATTGTTCGGATTTGCGCCCATACCCCATTAGGGCCCAGTTGTTCGAAGGCCGAGTGGCGCTAACCTAAGGTGAAATTTTATTCTAGGTTTCTCCATTCCTATGTTCAGAAGCCCCTTTTTGAATAATTTGTGGATCAATATCAGTATCTGGGCAACTGCCCACCTACCCCTCCCCTAACCCAACATTAACCTTAACTTGTTATCAATTGACTATTATTGAGTTAGGGGAGGGGCAGGTGGGCAGTTGCCCAGATACTGATATTGATCCTAATTTTTTCTATA